ATCTTCGGCCACGAACGAATGAACGAAATTCGCGACAATCCTTCATATTTTCTGCAGAAGAGTTTGCCACTGAACCTACTGCAGATTCGAGTTTTTCTGATTTTTGGAATTGTTGTTTATCCAAGCACACGGAGGCTGGCATTTCTCTGGAATACATTTTGCTCCAAATCGAAAGTGACAGAAACAAAATTTGCCAGTAGGGTCATATCGTTTACGAGATCGTGAACGTGAATTACGTAAATCCGAGTCCCTGTTTCTTGAGCGAATGGTTATTTGATCAATTTTTTGTTCAAGAGAGGTAATTCTTCGCTACAAATCATTTACCGGAACAGAAGGGGCATTACCACTAAATACTTCTGGTTTCCGATTCATATCACTAATTTAATAGACGCTAACTTAGTTACATCTTCATCACTAACTAATAATATATTTTTTATGGAGACAGATAGCTTCTCCAGCCATAATGTTTTGATTAGATTATCAGACACATCTGTAGAAGCAACTGATCTCAACTTCTGCAAAAGTTGGCTTGGTTTCATGTCTCCAAGCTCGATACTAATCAAACGTTTAATCCGTACATTTTCACTTTCTTTGAATAAATGTAATAACCTAATTTTAGCATCCGAATATTTTGTGGCACTATTGTTCATTACAATGTCCCAAATACTTTTGACGAACTTAGGTTCAAGCTGTGAAACTAAATAATTAAATTTCGTTTCTTCTGAAATGATATTACTAATTTTAAACTGAGCTTCAACTTGAAAAAACCATATTTCTGGTTTATTAGTCCAAAAAAGAGGTATTTTTACACTCACCTTATAAAGCTCTGGTGACTGCATCATATCTTTCGTAGCAGTTTCAGAAGAGTCATTTGTTGACATTTTGAAAATTAATCAGGGTCACCACGATGTGGCCTTGGCTACTAATGTTCAAAACTAAATTATGATTAGGAACAGCGTGAATTATAAACAAATAGCTAAGTTTACTGCATTTTATTTTCCAGTTATCGAAATGCCACGCTACTAGAATAGCAACGTTTTGAAACCAAAATTAAGCAATCATAAATCAGAACTAGTTGCCATTCAGCATAAAGAAATTTAAATATAAATATGAACTACTTGTTGCCATTCAGCATAAAAGAAATATAAATATGAATATTAAAAAAATAATTAAGTTAATTTTATAAAATAATTAAACACATGAACAAATATATGAAATAAAAAAATAATTATTTCTCATGCAATAACTGGGCCACTACAACATAATTTGCAAATTTTCTTAATTTTGCACACATGTGTATATAACATTCAGTGCGCATAGCTGAAACTGTACACAACTTTGTACAATTCTCTGAATTTTACTTCGCTGTATGTGGTAAAGGAAGTATGGTAATCATGAAAAAATTTCAGGTATGGTATTTCAATGGAAATTTCCATTCTGATTGTTCCCAAATCCATTTTAACTATTTTATTGTGTGACATCTCTATGCACAGACAGAATAAAGGATTCCTTTTTTCCAAAACGGGTTGTAAAATAGATTTTTTCATGATATCTGTACATCTCTATGTATTTTGCGTAACTCAAAAATGTTAAAAAAAAACATAAAAGCCCATAAAACTTTGAAATTATGTGTATGGGAAAGTTATAACACCTAGTTATTATGCATCTCCCTTTTTTATAGCAATGGGCAGTATCAAAAGTTTATATATGCTAAGTACCCTTGAAAACAGTATACCAAGAAGAAAGAAAGGTACAATCACAAAATTTTGCAAATAGTAGAGTGAGATCAACTATACAAAAGACTCAAATTTCGTGCCAATGCAAGTGACCACACATCCTGCTATGGTGCTGCAATCAGGAAGTGGGCCCTATATAAAGTGGCACATAGATGAAGATCCATGAACATGAGAATCACATTCTGACTCTAGGAAGACTTCAGTACATGAATAATGGCAAATAGATGTGTGAGAAGTGTCTTCTCACAGTTAAATGATTTTGAGAGGGGCCTGATCACTGGCATGAAATCTGCAGGCTGGTTGGTGTGCCGTGTTGCTTGCCAGGTCAATCATTCGGAGTGTGCCGTTGGAAGCAGTGATGGGAGTTCTAATTTCAAACCTGTCATTGAATAAAATTTTCTCATGTGGAAAGTGGAGTTTGTCACTGAGAAAGCAGCTGATGGATTATGAGAAATGGTGTGTGACTGGGAAGATGGAAACAGGATGGACATGAACACAGGTCTGTAAGGACCTAAAAGTAGTCAAAAGCTTGACATCAAGAATCTAGAATTTATTTAAAGACACTGGTGCTGTATTCAGGCAACCAGATCGAGGCACTAAACATGTCAGACTCTAAGAACCCTCACTGTGCAACATTTGCTAAAAAAGATAGGCAACTGATGTTAGCCCACATTGCAAGAAAGTTCGCTGCAGGTACAGAACTATCCAGATATACCAGGAGTGACAAGTTACATAAAAGAGGACTGTATGCAAGGAAACGAATGATTTGTGTCCCACTAAAATGTGCCTACTCTACAGTGGTGCAGAGATAATCATTACTAGAGAATCACAGATTGGAACTGAGTTCTCTTTACTGATGAATATCATTCTTATTTGGAGAATGGTTTCAAACATATTATAATTTGCTGGAATCAAAACACATTGTTGTGTGCATACAGGTTAGTTATGAATTGAATGCACAAGTCCGATGGCAAATAAAGAAAATTTATTATTATCTCAACAAATAAAACAAAATGCTTAAATTTCCTCAGATATTCACACAGTATTGCAATATCTCACAGTATTTATCTTTTTAACTACTAAAACGTTCAACAGAATTTAATTCAAAACAGCTAAAAAAGCTAATCCGCAAATTCACTACAGTCAACAAGAGCAGTTTTCTAAACAAACTCTTAAAACAACAACTAACGAAATTGAGAGGTTTTCCTCCTTTTTTTAAGCTTTGTAAATCACGCGCAATTGTTCTAGCTATTTCTCGAAATCAAAAAGAGATATTTAAAATGTTAAATGCACGCGCTCCTATATTTTTAATTTTACGGCTTGGATTTCTTTTAATATTCATCATGAACTGCACTGCATGGGGAATAAAACAATTTTATTTATAACTCTACTAACATTAATTAATTAAATACCAAATCCATAACAATATGTAACATGCCAACAATATGCATAAAAGGCATTGATACAAAACTGATGGAATCATGGTATTGGCGAGGATCGTTCTGAAGGCCCACACTGACCTATACATTTTTACCAAAGTAATTATAAATGCTGAAGCAAAAAGAGATGATGTTCTTAATCTTATGTCAAGTTGTTTAGGGCTGTAATCAGCAATAATTTCCTCTTAATGGATGATAACAGTTTGTCTCCATTACACTGCTTTAGTGACTGATTATTTGAAGGACAAAGGAATCCAACAGATGGAGCCTCCAGCTTTAAATCCAACAAAGTGTGTGTAGATTGCACTAGGACACTGACTAGCAGCATTGCAGTTGCTACCCACAACTCTCCAAAAGCTTCAATATTACAAATGTACTTCAAATAATATTACAAATGTATCACAGGAACTAAAAACATGGAAAACTTGTGCAAAACTTGCACTTACTCCACCACATTTACTGCACCGAAGCAGGTCGTTTTGACGCCAGGGCAGTTCGACGCCGTACGTTTCGACGCCATATTTTTTTTTGTATTTTTATTTTTCGAATAAATATGAAGTAATATGACTGATTTTTATTTATTGAATTAGCGATTGTTTGCATGCATATTTGAAATAAATATATGTGTGAAAATGTTCTATATTTTTGTTTGTGTCCCAGATTAGTGAAAAGCCCCCTCGCCAACGTCAAGGCCCCGGGACATGAGGGAGGGTTTTTTTTTATAATTTATTTATTTCACAAAACAGCATCAAAAAGGCAAAATACACTAATGACAAATAAACATATGGTTACAAAGTAGTAATATCATATTGCAGACAAATATAATTACGGATAAACATATATATTATTATTATAATTACACATAATAAGACAAATATAATTACACATAAATAAGATTAGAGATAAATAAGATTACATCACAGAACTGTTACTATACTAATCCATTGCAAAATTATGCGCCACACCTTTCGGGTATTCCATTATTTCTTGATTTTCAAAATCTTCAACTATTACTTTAATTCTCATATCAGCTCGCAGATACCTATTCCGCTTGTGCGGCGGTTCATCTTGACGTACAAATTCTTCATAACATTGATCAATTGATTTTTGAATACACCTAAGACCATCTATGGGGTGTGAAACACCAAATGATGATGACACCAAATTTATTTGAATGATGATGCAAACTTATTCTAAAAATAAATAAAAATACGAAAAGTATGGCGTCAAACAAGAGCAAAAAAAAAGTATGGCGTCGAACTGACCCCATATCGAATTGACCACGCGTCGAACTGACCTGTACCGTACTGCACACCTTATTAACTTTTTCAGTGAATCTCTAAAAAAAAAGTTGTAATACAATCTTTCTTAACTCTACTTTATATCATATTTCCTATTTCCTTACTTAATTTTTGTTTCTTTAACCAGAGATATGCAATTCTGTATTTTGAAGATTTATCAGGCATGACAAAAAAAGGAAGAGGTCGTTTAAGTGTAAAATTATTGAAGTTACATAACTTTATACAGTTGTTCCTTTAATTTTTCTTGGCAGTGCATAAATTTCATAACCCCTCACAAAAGAATGCTGATTCCCAAAAAAATACTTACTTATACATTTGTGTATGTGTCAACAGCTAAATCTGTGATTCATTCTAATACTTTATACATATATTTATTTCTATCAGAAGCTATTGAAAATTACACATTTAAACAAAATTTCAGTTTTATACTGAATTATCTGGAAATTTTACATTAGTATATAGTTCCAGTAATTTCTGTGAATCAAAAAATAAACCAACAATGTTATTTCTTTCAAGATACATACCTAAGTATTCAGCAATTTCTTCAGCTGATATATCTTCTTGCTTTTTAAGATATATGTCTTTAATCTTCTTTAGGCTTTCAGAATATGTTTTCTTATCACCCTAGTGAAATTACATATAAATAAGAAATGACAAAAATTGAAATTACAAGGGGGGGAATACATGAATACAAACTACATCCCATTAAATCTTTGATTCACATTCAGTATAGTACAGGTAGTCAGTTTTTGATTGTTGGAATAGATTTTTTGCCCTTCACCATAAAAAAACTGGTTGCAAGTTACCTATCAAATTCATGAAATTTAACACATTAACATTCTCCTGGGTTAACCAATGACAACAGACAAAGGTTAAGTTTAAATCACCACCAATTCATTTATTTATAATAAAATGTTGCTTATGATCTTGAAACATGATGGGCTAGTTCATCTAAAAAATTATTAAATAACCAAAATATAATATTAAATGATCAATTCAAGAATTTCTATGTTGATAACAAGATTTATTTCTGTAGAAATCTCCCAGACAATAAAAACATGTTATCTTTTAAGGATTTTCATTCAAAACTTAATAATTTAACTGAGAGCTTACACCGGTCAGAAAAAGTAATACATTTTGAACTTAATGCATCGAGAAAACTCTCAGAGGTTACAGATGCATCCTTACGTAACCAGATCAAGAACAGCTCTCTCTCTCTCTCTTTCTAAGCTCACTCTTAAAAAATCAATGCAAGGCCAATTGAAATCTCTCAAAGATACCTCTCTTTCAGTCATTCAATTGGAAGGTGAGGGAACCCCAGGGCTTGGACTCAAGTGAAAGTTTATTTTCTCACAGGAATGAAAGCCTAGATGGTATAATGTTAAAACAGAGATCAACCAAAAACTGATTTATGTTGCTACCTGTTGCTTATAATTGCACTATAGCATAGCTTATGTTACAAAAAATCATACACAGTGCATTTTTGTCAAATCTCTATAAATCACAAATTGAATTAAAATCTATGGCTCAAATAACAGAACATATTAAAGAAGTTATGTTCAAAATGGTAAGAGAACATACTTGCAAATAAGAATAAAAATTAAACTAAAACCTTCAGAAAAACTTCTTTTAATAAAAACATACCTAATATTCACCTTCAGTTCAATATTCTCCATTTTGTTTTCAAGAGAACATATAAAATGTACAGGATCCAGATTCTTTGTTGGGTCTAATCCCAAAGCTGTATTAACAGCAAGACATTGAAGTATGGCTCCATTATACCCATCTGGGTGTGTGTGCGTCAGGCGAGAACATTCCTCAGCGGCTTTCTAGCAGAAAAAACAAATGAGATATGGCTAATAAAAAAATCTAATTATACTTAGATTTATTATTAAATACTTATATTTATATACCCTAAAAGCTCTTTTTTTCCTTACAAAATTCAATTCTAAAATATAAATTCAATAAAAGTTTTTTATCATTTTTAACGACAGTATAAAAGGTACTTATGTATTATCCTGAAGATCATAAAAATATTGGCTACTATTCAACTGTGAAAGTTAGAAGAGATCCTGCTAAAGTTTTACCAATTGTTCCTCTGAAATTCAGAAGGACATGATGCCTCTTTATCTAATAAACAATGTGATCCAGTCCATTTTTTAGCTTTATAAAAAGACATAAAGAATAGTTTTCTACTATTTTGTTAGGCCCTTCAATTTTACTGGAAACTCAGTTTGAAATTCTAAATACAAACTTCCCACAGATGATTGTTCCAATCTATTACTGTTTTGTCAGCCATATTCAGCTGACCATTACTACATTATGTTTTTGATGGTAGTATCCAATAACTTCAAAAATAATCTACTACAGTACAAAGTCCATAATCCGGACTAGGTTTTTTCCCGGATTATAGATCATTAATTTAAATCTGGTAAGATGGCATGCAGAAATTATACAATTAAAAATATGAAACCGTAATTTATGAAATAAAGATCAATTATGATCTAAAAGGTATCAAAATTTACAAAAAAAAAAAAGCTTAATATTTATTTGTTTACTTTATTAACCCCTTCGAGCCGGGTAGTGAAAACGCGCACTTATCGCGGAGGCCGGCAGTGTCTTACGCGAGCTTCTCTCCAGGGCCGGGGGCTTTTTTGCTACTAAGCCTAAATCCATGAAATTTCCAAAGTATAAACGCATTGTTTAATAATGTTCTATAGAGTATTTAAACGGCTTATGCTTTATGGATACTTATATATATATACTTTAATTACCTTATTTCTTGTTTAAATGCATACTTTACACATTTTATTTTAATTACTCACCATTTTATGACTTTTAACATTATACATCTGAAAACTAAATATATTACTTAAAATTCTCTTTTCGTATGAAAAATTTGAAAACAGGGATCTACACACAGTCCTACGTTACATTCCTTGCACTCGTAATAACTCATTTGCCGTTTTGGAGGATTTTTCCGGAATGTGAACAAACGAAGCATCGTTGTCTCATTTTCTTATCAGTCTCTT